TTACTAGCATCTCTGTAATTAATCCATCTAAAGTGGACATTAAGCTAGTTTCTGCACACATCAAACACACATAATGGTCAGTTTTGATCTTTAAATCCTCTACGATTTGATGAGTGAGAAAGTCTGCTCGTATCGGGACATTATAGATAAAGCATGGAGACCTGTGAAACAGCAGCCATCGAGTAGATTGTACACATCGGAAAAGTGTTTCTTCAGAGTCTAAAACACCTGGAAAACAGTATTTATCACAAAAACAAAACTTTGGGAGCCTTAAGCATTCAAACTCTAGCCAGAGCGACCTGGTGGTGGCGAAGGAGACCAACTTCAATCCCTTATCCAGACTTTTTCCATTTGGCATAATGATGATCCAGACAGATGGAGCTCAGTGATAGAAACCCTCTCTGCTGGATCACTTCATTCCCACACAGACGTAAACACCAGAGCCGCTGACAGCAGAGTCTGTCTCATATCTGATGCTCGCAAAAATTGCTCCAATTTGTCACGCTGCGACTCTTTGGCCTCCGTCAGTAACCACAGGTTTATGATATTTTCATAGTGAACTGGTTAATTCATAGACAAGGTGCACAAGCAGTCGCATGCATGGTTTACACCTTGAAAACACTCACGGTCACAAACTGTGAATTCACTCACTGTAAGAATGTAAAGCACACTACAGCGCTGACACAATCCGTATTAACCGCTGTGAGGTGTGTTTGTTACACTGCTGTGTGCGAGTGTTAAACTGCCACATTGTTCTTTTATAAAAAGACAAATGCCAGCTTATGTTTCCAAGGTATCGTTCACATATGACAAAACAACAAGTATCCTCTTTCATGGGGAAATACGACTCAATGAACTCAATTTCAACTGTAAACGTGGAGCAACGTCTGAACGTGTGCGCCACTTACTCAGCATGATTGTTCCAGAGCAACAAAGTACTTAAAGGCCAAAGACCAAGAATAGACTTTCATATGCACATCAGCACAAAGTCCCCTGCTTTTCTTTTCTCATCCCTTCAGAGCCAAAGCGGCCGGCTATTTATAGCAGTATCCAGAAACAGAAGTTTCCTGCTTTATCAAACAAACAAGTGACTCCTTATCTCCCTGCAGCCTGGCCGTGTATCTGCATATTGACTGTCAGAGACTGAAGTCTGCAGGCTGGAACTCGACTGCACTTGTTGTTGCGATAGACAACAATGCAGCAGTGTAGATAACTTGGCCTGTGTCAGTTTAGAAGGAAGCGTTTGCCTGCATGGGGAACTGTTCACAGCTCAATCTTCATTGCCTCCTCGCTGACACCTTTCAAACAGGCTCAGCAGAAGTAGAAAAAACAAACAGGTGTGCACCGTGATGGCTGTGCTTGTAGTTTTAAATGGTCAGGAGCATAAAAGTCTTCAGACTCTTTTCTTTTCGTGAGGAGCAAAGAGCCGGGGAGCTGTTATCAAAAGAAGGTCCGTTGCATGCAACAGCTTGTATCTCTGCAGCCTCTTTGAAGACAGAAAAACCTTTTTCAAGATAGTTACAGAGACTCAGGTTAAGTCTTGCCCAATCCTGCTTCTACTATTTAAGTCTGTCTCTTGAAATGTTACGTATAGCCAGCATAATGTATTCAAAGTCAGCAAAGATTTGGTATTTTCGCCTTAAAAAAAAAAAAATGCGATTATCATAATAGTTGGCAGTTAAAAAAATGAAGGCAGAAGACATTTTTAAACAAATACGGCCCCAGATAACATTTGCCTCAAGTGTAAGTGACAACTTTAAAAAGTTAATATATATCAGAATGTGTCCCAGACAACAGTTCTATAATGCACCATCATTTTTTCAATGTATTTGTTCCTGATGAGGGGTCTGACATTTTGGACCATGTCCCTGGGGGGGGGGGGGAAGAGATCCTGAGGGTTCACAAAACAAACCCATTCTTCCTCCCCGACTGTAACCGTTGAGCCCTTGTCAACACACAAAGGGTCCAGAGAGCCATAAAACGAAGGCCCAGGGGTCCAATGTATCACAGGGGCCGGACCACAGAGAGAAGCTGCCCTTTTTTTAAACATGTGTGAAAGCCTCTCGCTCACCAGGGAAAAGGACGCTCACAGGGCCGGCAAGAGTTACAAATCATATGCGAGACATCCAGCATGTGAAATCAGCCCAGCAGGCGCCACTGACGGGAAAGTCTCCTGCGGTCACGTCAATTAACAGGTGCCACAAACAACAGATACCTGCAGGTCTGTCACATGCACATAGGAAACTATTGCCACACCTGTAACACCTGATAATCGTCGCCTTCCGAGCTGCTAATCAGCTGATCACATCTATTTTTAAGTGACAGTGGTTGGAGTGGTTTGGTTGGAAAGAGCTTTTCTTCCGACTGGCCTCAGCAGCTTTTGTCCATTCAGTACCATTCAGACAGATGACCCGCAGCAAACATCCTCTCCCAAAGAAACTGGGACACCAACTGATTATTTCTGTTGATATTTAAATAATTGTGGCGGGCCGAGAGAAAAGAAAAATGCTTTTCCTGGTTGCCATGGAGGGGATTAAATGAGCAATATAAAAAGGCAGCCGGGGTTTGAATAGAAGTGTAGAGAAGGGATTACTGGAGTTAGAGAGGCCGCCATATGACCTTCTGACTGTTTAGCTCATTAAGTTCAACACAGGCCTGCAGTTTGTGTTCGTTATCCAACTGTTGTTTCATAGAAGCTCCTCCACCCGGCTTCACTACGACTTTAATAAAGCCCGGGCATCTCCGAGTATCCGTCATCTTTTACCGGCGTCGTGAAAAACTCCTCAACAATGAATGAATATAAAAACACCACAGAATGGGGTTTTAGATTGAATGAAAAAAAACAAAACACAAAAGCCTCCATTTATGTCTCCGTGGAGCTGAATTTAAATTCCATCACATCCCCATATGAACTTCTCCTCTGAGTAGCAAGTTTAATCAGAGTTTGCTTCCTTTGAGTTCCCTGTGGAAAACTCTGACACTCGAGTCACCGCAACCACCATCAGTGAAAATGTGGGATCTCGGTGACCTTGTAGCTGGTGTGTCAGTCACGTGTGAGGGGAGGAGAGCCACTCAGCTCCATGAATCCAGAGCCGAGGAGAGATCCAGCTCAGTTATGGGTCGACTGTCAGCGTCACCTGAAGACGAACCCGATGAATTCCAACGTCTGCATGTATATGCCGTTGCTTTTCTGCTGCTGCAGCTTTCTGAGACAATGCCTGTGTTTTTACAACGAGCTCCCTGCAGCGCATAAGGCCACACAAGAAGATTCACACAAAGCTAGATTTATTTCTGGTTATTTCATCTGAAATAAAATATGACTGAGATAAAAAGCCGGTTAAGAGAAACCCTCTGAATCACATACACCTAAAAAAAAAAACTGGAGTTCTACTCACTTAAATATAAAACCACAACAAAGACATATTAGAACACTAAAGGGGTCCAGCCAGCTTGAGATGTCCTCATTCTTTCCACTTCCACAATGTGTGGGGACCACTTTGAGTCCTTTATAATCATTTCAACTTTCCTGCTTTGCTCATATAAATAAACTCATAAATGTATGATCAAAGCAACCAATACTCTAGTTGAGAATAAATCATTATGCTGAAGGGAAATATTATTTCCCTCATATACTCCTGTATGTCACTGGTGATAAAAGTCTGGACTTTAAGTGATTTATGAGAAGGGAGCTCTTTGGCCAGACTATTTCCAGACTTTGGGGGAATAATGATTGAATAAAACACAACGTTTATACCCCGCCTTGTTCCAAAGTCAACAGCCTTTTCTTGTCGGGTTTACTGATCTATAAGAAATCGAAATGGTTTTCTGAGATGGTCTGTGCTTAAAGTACACAGACTTGGTAAGAATAACAAGTTAAAATCAGACAGCGTAATTTAATCTTACATGTGGTCAACAACACCGCTGTATCTACCTTCACTTTAATGTCACAAACTCCCTGGTCATGATATATTTGTAGTAGTCATGAATGATAAACCATACTAAAGGACAGATGCTTCAGCTGTTGCGTATGTGTAACTATGATTCAGACAAACCCAATGTAACTATGTCTAAACAGGCTGACTCATGCGGCCTTGTAAATGTTTCTGTGTTGCAGGTGTCATGATGTCTCACCTTCCTCAGGAAATAGTTAGGACACGATGACGAATGCGGCTGTGAACCAGGAAGTCTTTTACCTTTCTCTTTACATTATCAATACTGATTTGCTGCTCACACTTACTCGCATACTGTCTAGACCGATGATCAAGACGTAATGGTTGTGAATCACCTGCAAGTGATATGAACATGACTTTCTGACACTATTTTGTAGTGGAGATACGTCTGATATGCGTCATCGTAAATCAAGGTTTACTGGAGTCAGTTTTGGCTACCACACTGTTTTCTTCATGGACCAATCTGTCATAGTTCACAAACCAGAGATTTAAAATGATGTAGATAAAGAAAGACTGTTACCTGATTATCATAATTGCTGGCAATTTAACTCATCGATGAATCAATTTAAGGTTTCACATCAACTTTTAGTTCACAAAAACACAAAACAAGCAGTAATGCACTGTAACTCACCACTCAACTGACTTACAGTCAGACACTCTCAATTAGATCTGCAACTGACAACTGTTCTCATTAATCTGCTTATTATTCTAAATGCCTGTCAGAATACCCTAAACCCAAGGTGACCTCATTAAATGTCTTGCTCTGTCCAATCAACGGTCAAAATGTTTATCTATACGATACTGACACCAAATCAGTTATCACACAACAAAAAGCCCTTTATGTGTGTGCAGACATACAAGTCCATGTTCAAATACATGTTCCTTATAAAGTAATAACCAGCCTGATACCACTTCATATGATCTATGCGAAGTATTAACTGAGTTACATCCCTGACTGCTGACTGCTCTATTCATCTCTTAATCTCAGGTAGCTGGTCCACTTCCATGAGCAGGAACTTCCCTGCAGAGCATCTCCGCTCATCTACTCACCAAGGCTCGGAGAGAGGACTCATCCAGCGCCGAGTAACTCTCCACGGACATGTTGATCTTCCTGCTCGTGCTCAGGTGAAACGAGACGGTGTGGATGTTGAGTGGTTGATGCGGTCGGTCAACGTGTGGTCTCTACCACCTGCACGACTCGCTGCTGCTTTCTGTGTCTGGAACGTGTCTCAAACTTCAGCGCAGATAACGATCAGAAACGTCCTTCAACGAAAGTAAACGCGCGTCGCGCTTATGGAGAGCATAACTCGGTCCTCTGTTCTCGTCTCTTAAGTCGTCGTGAAAGCAGAAACTGGCCCACACGCACTCTCAGGGGGACGTTGGCAGCTTTTTTTGAAAGGAGGATTCCCACTGAAAGGTGTAAGCCCGCCCCTCTCTGTCGCCGGCTTCTCCCGGCGCTCATTCAAAGCGCGCCGCTCTCTGTGGGGAGACGCGAAACAGCGACCGTGTATGGGGGGTGATTAGTGCCACTAAAGTCTAACGGGTGGAAACACATGAAGGCATTATAACTCTAACATTTTAATAAAAGTACACTGTTTGACATGTTTTTCCACAATAGCCATTCGGTGTATTTACATTCCGTAGTTACCTCTATATATATATATATATATATATATATATATATATATAGTAGTTTCCATTGTTAGTGGCATCCACTAGTTTTGTTTTTGTAATACAGCATTTGTTTTCAAGGAAATTCCTCTGGAAATGAACCACTGCTTATAAACTAAACACAACTAAGTAACAGCCTGAAAAGGTCTCTAATTTCCCTCTAATTAATACCAGATTCTTTCCAGGAAACGTCAGAGAAAACAAGGAAATTATGAACCTGGTAAACAACGCAATAGCATTTTATCTCCTTATATGACGGTCTAAATTCTGTTTCAAATCCATGAGGCCAGGAATAAACTTCTGGTGAAGAAATACTAAATACTGTTATTTGTTTTATTGTCCTAAAAGTATTCAAAATGACTCCTAAAGACTTACTAATTCAAAGGCAACTGCAATGACGCATGATGTTAATTGTGTTTCCATAGTTCCCCTTCTCAGGCAACACCTACTAATTGGCCACAAAAATCCCTTCATAACGATAAATATGTTGGCTATTTTCCACACGCTACCAGCGCTTTAATATTCAAATCTTCTAATTGTCTTGAAATTCAGTCATCTTAAGTTGTAATAACACAAACATGTGTTTGATCCTAGCGTGACTGAAAAAATGCCCATTTCTACATTGAAAACAGCATTGTTGTCAAAGCTCCTCCTGCTCATCTGGGGCACTTCTCACCCCTCATCAGCAGCACCATGATAGGAAGTTTATAAAAGATTTTTCAGCCGTTCTTCTATGCAGAGATTTGGTATCATGGCCTGTAAACTGAGGTGAGCTTGATGTATAAAGAGGTATGAAACAACACAGAGAGAATACAAGCTGGAGCCATGGATCTCCTCATTAAACATTTAATAGCCACACAAGACAAAGAGCATCAAGACAGTTGTTCTGAAACAGGAATAGTCATCCATGTGGCGTGAGAGCCTCCAGTCAGACCAAACACCAAAGCAGGAGATTTCACTGATTATTTGCTCCTCGACAGTTGATTATCAGACGTTAATCAGGAAACCGCTCTGGCATCGTCTTCAGTTAAAAGGTCTCAACCATCTGTGGCACAGGGTTGCCTATCTTATATGTATTGCTGAAGTGGACCCTATGTTACACACAACATACATCGTATCAATCTTAAATCCTATATGCGGAGGTGCAGCACACAACATGTTTCATACTACTTCAAAGAAGATTGGACAGGAGACACAGCTTCAAAAGCCACCTCATCTTAACACCACATATATAGTTCTACAGGTATGATTAAAAAAAAATCTAAATATTACTGAAGAGTATTAAAGACAGATGTTCAACAGTATAAAAAGACAAATGTTCAATTATACAGGTTTTTTTTTTTTTTCTTTCGTGGTCAAAGATGCATAAATGTATCAAATCTGTTCCTCAAAGCCCTTTTTTCACAAAATAATCTGTCAAAGTGCTTCAGATTACATACAGATTCAGAAAGCAACAGGAACACTGAAGGACCCTGAACGAACTGGCAAACAGGGTGAAAACAACACGTTCTTGGTTAGTTAGACAAATGCACAGCGACAAAGTCACGCGTCTGATGTTCTCCATGTTCCTCAATGAGCCATGACACCACGTGTACACGTGGTGTCATGGTTTTTTGTTTTCTCAGTAAAAGAAACAAAAAATAAATCTAATTCAACGCAAATAAAATTAAGTTCATACTTTATCTTTTAAGGTTGGATGTTAGACATACACAGATTTGAAGAAGGGGGAAAAAAAAAAAAAAAAAAAAAAAAAAAAACTTGAAATAAAGCAGAATATGCATTAATAAACCAGATGACTTACATAGACTATAATCGTAAAACTCATTAAAATATAAACTGAAGATAACTAACACTCACACAGGCACTTGTCAGATAGGTATACGTTTTGTTTTCAAGAGTGTGCAAGAAGATAAATGAATGTTTGAGTAGGAGATTTGGTTTTTGTATTTCTCCACATGCTCTCACTCTTCCTGCTGCTCTTCATTCTGCTTCTTGGGCAACTGCAAATGGACAAAATACAAAATGTGTTGAGTGGCCTTAAAAAAGGGAAAATGCACAACTAAGCAGACTTTACACTGTGATGCTTTAAATATTCTGTGAAGAAAAGCATCTACGACGTTACAGAAATTATAACTTTCTCTATTACGAGCACTTAAATGACCCGGCAGCAGCACGTCCATTCTACAGTAATACTGTTCTATTTCTCATGTAAATGTATGAATACATTTTATATAACCTTGTGTTTCCCCCAGAGTATAAAACTACTGTTACAAACGAGGACAAATTAAAGAAAACAGGAGTCTAGCCTGGATGATGTGTAGTGAAGGTACCGTCACTTTCACGGTACAAACATAAATCAACATCACCTCAACAGAATGTGTTGTTTTTAAGAAACTTGAGGTTTACCTTCGTCAATGAATTTCTTCTGTTCCCTCTGCCGTCTTTATATTCTGGTAGATGTACTCTGGTGGACAAACACATTCAAATCTGAATATTAATAACATTCTCCACTATATTTACAAAAAAAGCTCAAATCATAGTGGAGCTAAAGTGGTTGAAATTAAATTTAAAAAATGAGTCTCCGTCAACTTGATGATTGCTTTTACCCCTGTAGAGACGTAGAGGCAGACTTGTCGGAGTCGCAGAAAGATGAATGAGCTCCCTCTGCCTCCATGCCCGGCTGCTGAGGTCGGTTTTTCACAGAAGCATCGCAGTTGGATGTCTTCCTTTGACTTGGTAGTCCAATGTAACGTCTCTGCCATTCCATTTGGTTTGGTCCTGGTGGGGTCTCTCTGTCGCATCCAAAGTTCACTTCCGAGAAGTCGACTATATGTGGAACAGGACACACACACACACACAAATGCAGTTTGTTGAAGGGGACATATCTTTTTTTTTTTTTTAAGTGCTTGTGCACCTATATTTGTGTATCTGGAGTGTCTACCAACTGACAAACTGTGAAAGAACACAACCTAGTTAGTTTTGTGCTGTCGGCTGCCTTGATCAGAAAACATGTGATTCAACAAGACATTCCGGTTTGGCTCCCGTTCTTTTGTCACACGCAGGCTCGTTAGATTAAACTGAGAACTGAATATCTCCACCCAGGGCTTGACCGGCCAATCAAAACTTCTGGAGGCGGGCTTAAAGAGACAGGCGCTCAGATGAAGTGTTTCAGACGGACGTTGAATACAGGTATACTCAGACATAGAAAAATGTAATTTCTTTATAACATTAATCATTAAACATTAAAGCATGTAAATATGTAAATATGTTTTCGTAGAAACCCAAAATATAAATTTGTACAAGTTGTAATATTCACAATAGATTCCACACAATACCTTGAGGATTAACTCTCCTTTGAAAATCTGAAGTCATCTGACCAAAGGCATCTTTGGTTGGGCTCAGTGGTTTTTTGACAGATGCTTTTGTTAGATTATTCAGCGGGTGGGCAGTCTGAGGTCGCATATCACACTTGTCCTAGATATAAAGAACACACATTAAATTGGCCATTAGGCAATTACAAATCTGTCTATTTGTTTGATGTTCAACATTCATGAGCATATTAAGAAGGGATTTCTACAGATTGGTTGTTTGGGTCAAAATCTGGAAATCTCTATTGAAGAAATACTTGAATTATGTGTAAACAAAATAGGACCGTGACATTTTTAAGCATTCCTACAAACAAGTCAGAATAATTTCCTTTCCTCAAGGCAAACTGAATAAAGTACTTAACTTGTGACATTTCAATAGTTTTACAGGCTGTTTGACTTGATTACGGACATACCTGATGGTGAAAGACGACAGCCTCCTCCAGAGCGACGCCACAGAACTCACATGGAATGACCACGTCGCCCTCTAGAGGACTGGCTGGAGGACTGTAGGAGGCCGGGGACATCGACCGGGGGAAGGTGGGGATGTTTGAAGCGAGTGTGTCGGGGATGTTGTGCATCAGCCCTGAAGCGTTCCTGCCCATCCTGTCCTCTTTGAGTGGAGACAAGGGCTGCTTGCTGTAAGATGCAAAGGCGGAGGCCGGGCTGCATCCAGTCTGATACAAAGAGAAGAAAGGTAGGCTGGTGAAATCTCTGAGAAAATCATCGTGTGTGTGAGTGAGTGTGTGAGTGCGAGTGCGAGTGAGAGGAAGGCCTCTTGTTCAAACTGGGAAAGGCTGTAACTGCCTTGCTAAGCATCTAAAAACAAAGATAAAGTAAGGTATGCAATTGTTTGCATGACTGGATCTGAGACTCGTACACCGATTAGATTTGTGCATACACCGATATATTTCTCAATCATTTGACAACACACAATTCTAATTGGAAGTGAGACAGCCTGTGGACAGCTTTCAGAGGAAAAACGAAATGCACCTCGACAGAGTACATCACAGCAGGTCTGTCCAACAGGAAGGTCAAATAAAAACTGAAGGCGGGGCTGCAATCACAGTGAAGTATTTCCGGCAGAGTGAGCAGGGTCTGTTAGGCTGGTTGTATCTCACAATCAGGCTCCGGTTGTTGTATTTTACCGCTTTTGCTGTGTCATCATGCATGCAGATATGATGCACTGACCTGGAATTACTAAACTCTCTGCCCTCCTTTTCTCCAGTGATGTGTAGCAGAGTGCGTCAGCTGTGCAGCTTTTACCTCGAACATTATGTGTGTGTGTGTTTTACTTGATTGTGGACATGAATTCTCAAAAGGAGGACTAGCGTTAGATTACGATGTTAGTGCATCATTGATAACAGGATCTATTGGTTACCGGGCTACAGAGGTTTACTACCTCATGGAAAGATAATGTCTTTTTGTCTTTCCTTAGGCATATATTGGCAACAACTAGTCAACTAACAGATTAGCTGATTGACTGAAAAATAATCACCAACTATTTTGATAATTAGTGAATCGTTAAGGTAAGAGATTTCCTGCTCTTCTCTGTTTAACATTGTATTAAACTGAATATCTTGGGTTTTGGACTCAGAAAACAAGACATTTAAAGACATCACCGTGGACTTTGACTTATGGACCAAATGAATAATCAGTTACTCTAAAAAAAAATTAATCAGCAGATTTATTAATAATGAAAATAACTGTTAGTTGAAGCTGACAGTTTCTGGACTGCCCTCACTACGTGAAAACCTTGTTTTCTGACAGCTGGAAGCACAACAGCCGGTGGGGACATGACGTCCAGGTGACCATAAAATGTTTGTTTAAATTCATACCAGCCAATATCGGGATGAGCACAAAACTCTGTCATCATGAGTCAACACCGATCAATAGTGTAACAAATCAAATCTCTCACCTGATGCAAAATGAGGTCCTCTTCGGGAAACAGTTCTTCGCAAAACTCACAAGGAAGCATGGTATCTGTAAAAAAATAATTTTAAAACATTAAACTGACAAAAGAAAAACTCAAAGTCTTGATGTCAAAGTCAAAGTCAAAATCTTCTGCAATTTACCTGCTTGATCGCGTTCCTGGACTGCACTCGTGCTTGTGCCCGTAGAGAAGTTTGGGAAGTTGTTGTTGGGCGGAGAGAGAGGAGAGTTTAAAGAGGTGTTGGAAGTCTTCCCAATCTTGTGGTCCCAGATACCACTCCACAGGTTTCCCTCTACGCCTCCAGCCACCGATTCTACGTCGCTCTGCAGGCTGAGAGCCAGCATGTAGTCCAGGCCCGATGAGTCCTCATTCAGTGTGAGATCACTCTGTGGCCACGCACTGCTGCTGCTGCTGCTGCTGCTGCTGCTGCTATTCTGAAAATCACTCTGCACTACAGGAGAAGAAAGAAACGATAGTTATCCCAGATAATAGTTTTAACTGCAACTACAAATACAGAAATGGGAGAAAAAAAGATATTCACAATCAAGGTTAGCAACATGCAATGTGTTCTTTGGCCCCTAAATGAGCAAAACCTCTCTAAATGGAAATTAATATAAGATAATTCACAATACACTCACTTTGGCTAAAGGTATTTCTCGGGGCAGTATTCTTCCAGTCTCCTAGGCCTTGAGGTCCCCTTGAAGTGTAATATTCTCTGTGATCAAATGGCCGGGGAAAGGCCTGTTGTTCTGCTGCACTGATGTTATTATTCTTCGGGCCTCTCTCTTGGGCTCTTAGGAGGTTTCGGATGGAGTGAGCCTCAAACCAGGGCCCTGGAGGCTGTGGTTCTACCGGACTGCGACTCGTCCGACTGTTGTTCCTCTCTTGGGGTGGTGTAAGGCTTCCACATAAGACCGGATGCACAGCTTGTTCCCTCAACATTACGTTGCACTTGCAGTGCACGCAGGGCTCAGTGCGCGTGCCGCAATAATCCTCGTGTTCTTTGGACTGACTGAAAACAATCTCCAGTTCACAGAATTGGCACGGGACCAGCCGCTGAGAACATTGAGCGCTCTGAAAGAAACAACGATGGTGAGGAAACACGATTTGATGATTTAATTAAGACGGCTGAATATTAGCGTTATAAACAAGGAACAGAAAGGCTTTTCAGAAATACCTGGTGAACAGCAATATGAGTCTTCTCAATCTTCAAACCACACTTGCATGTAATCTGAAATGAAATGGAAAATGTTTTAAAGTTGCAATCCAGTAACACACGACGTTGCGGTATCATTGGAATGAGGATTTGAGGTGGCAGTATGTGGTATGTGGTCAGTATTTTCCATAGACAGATGCTGCTTTAGCCAGTTTATAGTTAGCGTGTTACAAACATACATGACAATACATGTGTTATGATATTGACAATACATGTATTGTCAATATCAGTAACTGATATTGACAATACATGTATTTTTAGCAAAAAATAATAATTGCTTGTTCAATACGCAATAAAGCACAATGAGTTCCCTCCGCACAGTTTGGTGGTTTCCTGTCCTGCTCCATTACCGCATGGACACTTGCTCAAAACAAATAACAGGCAAACCTTTTACTCCCCAGACATAACAATCAGAAAGCACTTGTTCACTTAGCAGTTAAGTGCTTTGTTGAGTAGCGGGTCCTGGCTATGCAGATAACACACATTGTCCACGTTTTGGTGTTGGGCCTGCTCTTTAAAAACAGAATACATCTTTTGAAGGAACTGTGTTAAAGTGTCCAGTCATGTGGCTGTTATCTTACCTGAGTGTGCTCCTGCTGTTTGTGCTCCTGGAGGTCAGACCGGGGCACTGGCTCCTGGCATACGTCACACAATGCGATGTTTCTTCGGCAGTGGATCTCATGGGTCGTAAAATTAGCCTCTGGAATGTCATGTTTGCTAAAACGGTAAAGAAAATGATTTAATCCCTGTTTTTACCTCCATATTAAATTGACTCATCACCTGCATGGGCAAAGTACCGTATTCATACTTACCAATTGCCACAGAACTGTGTATTTTCATCTGCCATGACTTAACCGCAGCCTATGGAAAAAGGTTTACCGTTAGTTATTAATGACACTAAACAAGCATGACTGACATGAAAGGAGAACGTGACACTTAACTTAGCTCTATTTTAGTGATCTTTTTGTATATACCTCGTTAATATGCATGTTTGTAGGTATACAATTTGAGATTAATTAACATTAATTCAACAAGTTGAATTTAGAGTCCAAGCTAATTAAATGAACCTGCACCAACATCTGTTTACTGGACTCATTTAAACATGTCCCTATGAATAATCAGGACTAATGTAGAGAGGACAGATAGCTACCACCGTCGTTTGCTTCATGAGAGGGTTGACAGCTCACCCAGTGTTTCCAGGCAGGTAGCTAACGTTAGCTGACAATGATCGCCCGTGTTTACAAGTAGATTCTCCGTCAACGCGAACTGTTAGTCAACAAGCATCTCGAACGACCGCAAAAAGTTGGACTAGGTTAGCCGTGTTGCCTTTAGCTAGCTACGTAGCTTAACATTAAATACCTGTTTAGCAACTACCACGTAGCATACATGTAGCTAACCTAACTAACGTTAACTTCATACGCTCTTTACCACGTAGCTACCAACACAAGAAGCTAATGTGCGGCCAAGTCCACGCAAAACGAGGACAGTCGTTGTGATGTTACTATTTGTCAATTAATCACCTCTGTAGGAAATGTTACCAAAAATAAACCCGTAGACGAGAGCTAACTATTCGATATAATCTTGGAAAACAGATCGTTATTTCCTCCTTCCTCCGTCTGCAATCTGAGAACATGCCCTGAGTAATGCCTCTCAGGCTGTCTACGTACACATCTATTCACCTCCTTTGATACCGGCACAATCCAACCAAATCCTATAAAAACGATTTATAATATTGCACATAGTTTAAAGGCAATACGATGGAGATTCACGGAATGTAAGGGGCGTACATATTATAGAGGTTAAACTTGAAAGCATAGGGTGAACGCTAACTGTAAGCCCCAACCCAGGGAAAACTCCCCCAATCTCTCTCTAGGTTTAATTTTGATTGGCTGAATGAGACCGTGCGCTTGTGAAAGCGTCTCGGGTGACACTCCTGCTTTTAATTTATAGCCCATATCCGATATTACCAACACAATATCTTCTACAAGTGTGATAAAGGTGTCACGGGTATATACGTCATTGACATTTCAGCAACCTTTTCAGCAAGCACGTGTCTTGACTCCGTAACTTTGTGTTTCACCCTCCTGTCTACACCGGAAGTGAGGACGATGTGTCCGTTAACTTCTGCTACCTGTGATCGCCCCTGCGCGTGCTTTGTAGCCAACACGTCACCAGTTGTACTATATAATATACAGCGTGGACGGCTGTCAGGGCTGAAAGAAGATCGTAGACTTTCCTTTAAGGCAGTATGATAATCTTTGGCCGCCACTGTACGTATCGCTAATAAGATCAACTCCCCTGCACAGCTCGTATGTGCGTCAACTGGTCACGTGACCAGAGGGTGCTGGCATGTGTTGGTATTTGTGCTTTATACTTGTATCATGTGTTTGTAGCAAGATGATGCTGTAACAGAAGTCCGCTGAGCAGTCGTTCAAAACGTGCTAATACAACAAATGATTTTTTTTAACAATCAACAATTAGATTTCAAATGAAATAGATACTTATATATATATATATATAGAAAAGCAAATGAAGGATTAAAACATACAATTAAATACAATAAAGTATCGTAAAACATGACAGGGCAATATAAATAAATAGTAAAAATATTAAATTGGGAGCAGTCTCAGTTTTAAGAGCCTTTTTGTTTATTGCTAAAGTTATTGTCTTAATATGTGGTTCCATTTCTTTCTTGAAAACATTAAAGTTAGGTTTTACTTTGGCAAATGTACATTTCTGAATGTAAAACCTTACAACACAGATGGGTTAAAGCACATTTTTCCCAATTAAGTCAGCTACATCAGTCAAAGGGACATCAAGAACAGAAGCTGAACAACCCTTAAATAGTATAAACATACCATAGGAGAGAGCATGGAAGACTACGGCAAACTGTTAAGAAGTTACAGGGATCTGATATTGTTGAAAACATTTCTGATGACTAAACAAAACACCATGAATGTAACTTATTTGTTTACTTTTCTAACAAATGTAAACCTAGACCAGACATTGTAAAACTCACGTGAGGTTTACAATGTCTGGGCTAGGTTTATGTTTTATTTAGCAACACTGATTATTGTCAAACTTATCAAAAGTTCTTGAATATAACTTGAATTAAGATTGGAAAAGAGCAACATAGTGAGTGTACTGTACCAGATTTTTAAACAAAAACAACATTCTATAATCAAACATTTTGATTAGTGTGATTACATTACATACATTTTCTCAATCTCTGTAACTGATTACAATTAAACTGTAATGTAATTACATAACTGTCTGATGTAACTAGCTTCTCTCCAACACAGACTATTAAACAGTCCAGTTTATCTGACAGGCTTGTTATTGTGTAACAAGCGAATAACTGTAAACATCATTTAAACACATAGTTGTCTCGACTGCACAGACTCTGACATTCAGTATACAAACACAATCAACACAACTTTGTCCTTTCAGTGTTTATTGAGGTTTTGATTGACCAATACTGTCATATCAGACATTTTCCTTTTTGTAAGGCACAGTTTTGTTCAGATAAAACACTGATGTTATTTACAGCACATGTTCAGACGCAGTACATACATCCTCGCACCTCCTTCCAGTCTCAATGACTGCGATGATTGGACCGTTATTGTAAATATATAAAACTTTAAAATGCATTTCAAAGCCCTTGTTCCTTTTTTGAAAAAAAAGGTACAGTCAACTGCTTATATCACAATGTAATATGAATTGTAACTCATGCCAAAAGTTGGAAAACAAAATTGTGAGGAAAAAGCAATATATTTCAAAAAAAGATGTGGCTGGATTGACAGAAAGGACTCATTATATTTTCAAATAAAATCAATGAAATAACTCGGCCTTGTAAAATATATTGATTTTATATCGATGATTAACTTAATTGATTTTTTTCCACAAGCAGCTTGAGGGCTGAAAAGTGGATACATCCCAGTTAAAGTGTAAAAGCATGAGTTTGTCACATTGTTGAAAGGCTTTCAACATCTTACGAAGTAGCACATGATAAAATGAACTCTCTACTGCACCCACTCACATTGGGTGGTTCCTGGTGATGCATTAAGTTATCCAACAGCTCTTAATTGGTTACATGATTGTCTGATTTGAATTTATGTCCAACATGAAGATGGCTATGGACCAATTCCTTTGCTCGAAGTTCGTCAAATGGAACGTCATCAGGAATATTAGCTGCGTTAGTTTGAAGAAGGACGGCGGTACAAACAGCCCTGCTGTTGTAGCCAGAGTCAGCCCAGGGAAGGACTGTGAAGCATGTGAAGACATCTATGCGAGAACTACATATACCTCCGCTCACTCATCCCTATCGTGCACAGGTGCAATAGTTATTGCTCTATTTTACAATCCAGGGGGGAAATATTTAGGAGAAAAAAAAAAAAAAAGTTAAAAGTACCAGCGTTGAAAGATCAAACAATACGGAGTTCCACAAATAAATCGGCACCACAAAATGAACTGAAATGACAAAAAAATTCACATTAAACTATTTTTTGCTGTTGACAGGATCATTTCTACTATACAACTCCTTTATGGGGCCATGATTATAAAAGCTTTACGTGGCTATTAATAATAACTATCAAGCAGATTCAAAGGATCACTGTAACCACCATATCTTGCATCGCACTATTTTAATGTAGTAAAATAGCTGAAAAATGTGCAAAACACAATATTGCATGACCAAAATGAAATAGCCATAATGCATTTGATGGTGTTTTTTTTTTTTTTTTTTTTTTTTTTTTTAAATGGGGCAAGAACATCAGCATCTCACAATCGTCTATCGATGCATCTCTACACATGTAACTGTGTCAAAGAGCCTGTCAATAGGAGGCACGTTAACATACGTCAAAAACCAGATACACAACCAGCTTGTGACTGAGAGAGAGAGAGAGAGAGAGAGAGAGAGAGAGAGAGAGAGAGAGAG